ACCGGGTGGCGGCGGAGCACGGCTTCGGCGGGGTGCGGAAGGTAAGCCCCCGCGCAGGCTCGGGGCGCTGGGGGGGCGCGGTGCCCTTCACGATGGGCTGAGGGCAAGCGGTGTCCTCCCGGGGGCAGACCGTGTAGGGTCCTGCCGCCACTTACCTGGGGAGAGGGCACCGAGCGGGGCGCGTCCCGGCTCTCCCGCGTTAATCCCCCCTCTCCGAGGCGATTTTAGGAGTAGCGGTGCCAAGAGCCATTGCAAGCGCGCCTCAGCAGCGGCCCTGAAGGGTGATTTTCTTGGACTGGGAAGCAGAGGAGTTTCCCACATGGTAGCTCGGTGCCTTTTGACTTACTATGTAAACATCCTCCCATTGAGCTCCCATCCTGCGGGGTCGGGGTCGGAGTCGGGGCTGGGCGCAGGAGCGGCTGGGTGTGCGCGGGAGGGCTTCCTGTGCGCGGCTGCAATTGAAACTGCTCCGAGCACTTACAAAATAATTAAAGCCTTATCTCCATGGAGAAGCTCGCACACAATTTAAATGGAAGATTTCATAGGGGTTTTGATACTCAACTTCGTGAGGCTGGTGGCTTCTTAATATCCCTGCTGTTCTCACAGAGAAATAGGATGCTCCTAGGCTGAAGAAGCTGCTTGATATTAAGCATGATAAGCAATCAGTGCTTATCACTAATGAGTGTAAGTTGGGAAACTTCAAGTGCCAGTGGAGGTTTTTTTCTCTCCTGAGGTCCCAGGAAATCCGAGGTAGCCACAGTGCCAGAGACTCTCTTCCCAGCTCGTGGGGAGCCTAGCTCCACTAGAAATCTCTCCTGTTCAAATAATAATTAGATCTCTGAATGTTCAGGGTACAGTCAGATCTGGGGTGAAGGCAGGGAGAAGCTGATAGACCGCCCTGGTCAATATAATTCCTGGTAGACTTAATGCCTAAGCAGCATTTGAGGAGTGTGGAGGGAAAGTGAGCTGCAAGCATTGCTGCTGCTTGTTTGGGTTTTTTTTCTTTCCCTGGTAGTTATGCAATGAGAGCCTAATCTGATTTCCAAGGAAATGAATGAGAATGGTACCCTGAACTTGGATGAGTGAAATGGCTTAAGACCTTGATTAAAATAAAATATCAAAAATTAAAAAAACATGTAGTGAGACTCCCTCCCTTGGGCTGCCTTGTCTCAACTCTAGTGGGGGCTCATTAGAGAAATGAGGACAAGATCGTTGTTGCTTTGACCCAGCACACTCTGGCTGCTGCTAAGGTGCTTTTGGGCTCACAGCCTTGTCCTGATAGCGACAGAGCTGGGCTGCTGATGCCCTTGGGAAAGGATCCATTGTGGGAATTAGGTCTTGTTGTATGAAACTTAGATATGGCTCTTTGGTCAACAGTTTTCCCTTTTTATTCCTTTCCTGTTTGTACTTCCTCCCTCTTATCCTGGGGATATCTGACTGATAAGGCCTTACGAGGAGGGAAGGGTACTTTTCCGCAGAGCTGAATTTGTTATTGCTTTTGCTAGATGCTTTCAAATGATCCTCTGACCCATGTGGGGAAGAGACAGGGAGAGAGGGGATTTTGTAGGATGAAGTGCAGCGTCTGGTCTGTTACAGTCTTCTCCCCTCCACCATGCCTCTCCCCAGGGTGCCTGGGGCACGTTAGGAGACATACAGCTTCTTCATGGAAATCAGTCTTGTAGCTCATTGTGGCAGAGAGCTGGAGGGAAGTCCCTTGGGTGTGCGAGAGGAGAGTACCTGCTTTCCAGTACACGCCGCGGGGGGGCTGTTGACCGCGGACACGGGTGTCTCTAGGAACGAAGCCAACATGCGTGTGCTCGCAGCGTGGGGGGGCAGGTGGTGGCGGTGGCTCCTGTACCGAGCACATGCTGTCCCAAGAGGTTTCTAGGTTACATCATCCCGCTCCCTGAAAAGCTAGAGAGCCTCCCACCCCTCCTCCTCCTCAAGCGCAAGAGAAAATAGCACCCTACTATCTGCAAGGCAGTAATTTTAAGGAACAGAAAAAGTTGATAGGGTTTGGCATTTAGCCTTCTGTGTCGGAGGATCTATGAGAGGCTGATAGCAATCTCCGTTCTGCAGGGGAAATGTGTAATGGGGCTTGGGTGCTGGTAGTCGGGCATTAATAAAAGCTTGTGCCATCTACTCCGGTGTCTCTTCAGTATTGCTGAACTGAAGAGTCTCCTAATCTGTTTTGCTATCATCAGGCTTGTCTAGCGTCTCCGCTTACTGTCTACAGACTCAGCTTTCACGGCGATAACGACAGTGCAGAAAGTTGAACGTGGCCGTGTGTGTATGGAAACAGAGCTGTTAGTGGTAAACTCTTGGGGGAAAGTACCATGTGTAGATATGCTATCTAATGAAATATTCAAAAAATACCAAAAAAACCCAAATCATACCACAAGGAGAAGTGATCTTTGTATACTTCAACCACACATACTGTTTGGACAATGTGATAAGCTATTTACTTAAACCAAATCCAGTTTTACCTTTACCTATATTGGAGAAGAGCCGTCGTCTGAAAATAATCACCTTTATTTCAGTGCAGGTACTTTCCCATTAGGAGCAACAAAGGCAGATTCAGCTTTTTTGTATGTGTGGATTTAAGACGTGTATGAGAGAGACTTCTTTTATGCGTGCTGTGTATCACAGACCTCTTTTAACATGACTTTATGGGAGCTGATTTTTAAATTACATATTTTTATTGCATGTTTTTTTCCTAATAACAAGTAATCTCTGAGCAAGTGTATGTTACATTTACTTAGCAGCAGATTTCTGTAGAAATACAAGAGAAAGCATTGCCTTGAAGATGAATGTTATGAACTGTGCGATGTGCTAATTGATTCTTTGGCCATGCTTCCTGCTGTCATTCTGAAACCACTACAAGACTTCAGGTGGGCTAAAATGCGTACTTTAAATTCAGTGCTTGATGAATTGATTGAGAAGGGCTTGGTACTTACGTAAGCAGGTGCCTATGTTTAGATCTAGGATCCTAACATGAGGCAGAATCTCAAAAACACTGGTCAATTTTTCTTTAACCTTCCCTGAATTAATCCCAAATACAGACCTCTTTGCAACTCTGATGGTGCTCCTTGATTTTTTTTTTTTTTAAATGTTTGCAGTTTTTCAATCCATTGTACCTGCGAAAACTGATTCTATATATTCCTGGTGAAACAGATACTGTGATAAAGCATATTCTTTGCTTAACATGGTTAGCCTTACCATCTTCGAGCACTCAGGAGCCATGAGGATGCCCGCCTAATAGCTACATGTTAAATTGTGAGAACTGCAAAAGGAACAACAACTTTTTTTCTCTCTTTGTTTTTTTTGCCTCCTGGCATGGTTGCCACCAGAATACATTTCTTAATGCAGGCTGAAAAAAGCTGCTTTCTGACCTTGCCTTGCAGTTCTTAATTCATCTCTAACAAGGGGAGTTGGAAGAAGCATTTGGAAAGGTCTCCTAATTGGAGATCACAGTTCAGACATCTCTCTCCATTTCATCAACGCCACCGAGACAATCTACAAAATGCCACCATGACTAAATGTTTTACTTCTGGTAGCATTGAGGTGAAGGGTTTTAAACAGTTGGTATTCAGTGGTCTCAGATTTTAAAATAAGAACCAAACAAGAATTTCAAAACATGGAGAATTTTATGTGCCCCAAAGCTGGTGTGTTTTTTTCCCTTGATGTATCACCTGATCACCTCTCCGTCTAAATCTTGCAAAATCCAAGGTACCTCTCGCAGCTGTGATTTTTCTGCTTTGCATTTTTGCTTAGAAGGCTGCTGGTTGAGAACCAAGCTTTCTGGAGCTGGTCAGGATTTTCCGGATGAAATGTTGGGAGCTTTGGGTTTTTTTACATTGCATAAATACAGACTTATCAAAAGCAAAACTTAACAGGTAAAGAAGCTATATTTCTTGCTGCAGCGGCCCGCTTCTCTGCGTCTAGGCTGGGAGCCTGTGAGGTGGGAGTTGATGTGGTGTGGAAGGCAGACCAGGAGGCAGAATAATGGGTTTGCAGCCCTGGGAGCTCTTTGCAGGGATCTCTTCCAGGGATCCTGAAATTTCATCCTGGGGTCCTCACGCTAAAGCCCTGAAAATCCCTTCCTGTGTAGATCAGCCCCTAAATCTGGAGAAGAGGTGTTTGCCTAGCGTGATATTTAAGGTGCCAGGCTATGCTTCTGCATGCCCAGAATGCTCTGTGATGGTCAGACAGGATTCTGTGCGTGTAAAAAATACTGGCTGCGAATGTGTGCCGGTATGTGTGTTTATAGATATATGTGTTTATACACATACATGTGTTTCTTGTTCCTTTTCCCGTAAAATACCTATGCATGGAGCAAAGAAGAGGAAAGAAGAAGGGTGAATTCTTAGCCAGGCTCCTGGCTGACCCTGTGTGTATAGATATTAACCAGCTAATTTGTGCATATACGTGGTGGTCCATACTTTACACATCAACAATCTTGTGCTGCCTTCACATGCGCTGCTAACCCAAGCGCTCGTGAAAGTGTTAGTTCTGGCTAGGTGAAGGCAGCGTGGAAACAGATGCTGAAGCAATGGAGCATCCCATGCAAAGAGGAGGCAGAGCCCAGGCCTCCCCCCGTGGGCCTGCTGGAGTCCAAGGACTTAAGATCAAGCCTCAGACGGCAGTGTTTCCATGCACTAATACGTGTTTAATAATTAATTAGCTTTGTGTTTTGTGCTGGTCTAGAGGAAAGGATGTTTGTTTGCAAAAGTAATAATTTATTATGGAAACAGAAAAACCTCTTAGAAACGGAAGGTACAATGTAAATTTTTTGAGGAAATGAAGAGCTTTGATTTCCTAGCTTTCATTGTTGCAATTTTTTATTACTAGGATAAGAAAAAGTAAATTCCATGCAAATGCTAATTGTACAACTAACTGAGGTTTCAGTAGGTCATCTCACCATAGCAGCAAATGCTTCCGTTTCCAAAAGAGTCTGAACTGATGTGTTTAAATTAGGGGGAAGAAGCAATTAACTAGCAGGAAAAGTTTGATCCTGCTGCGGGAAGGCACCCTGCTGGGT